CATTTTAGGGGTGGGAAAATAACTCTACCACTGATATGTCCAGTATAAAAATAAGTGTTTACATTATGTTGTTTTATCTTATTGATTCTAGGATCCTTTGGTAATGGAAAAGTTTTCTCAGCTAAGCATCACTCCAGAAGAAGAACCGGAATCTTTTACCGGAATGAATACTCGAGATCTCGTAGAACATGGCATTGTTTGTGGAGAAAAAGAACAAGTGTTAGTCTAACTCTCAATAGTTTTTATTGTTGAGTCAGAATACGAAAAATCTTCATTTTTGATTTCTTTCTTCATTACTATCTCTTATAAAGTTCGTTGTTAATTGTTATGCTTTGAATCTTAGAAGTTAACCATTTTGCGTAAGATTTTGCAGATACCCTCGATATTTTAGCGATCTCACTCGTAGCGATTTACTGGTCTCTCAACAACGCATTCGAGAAATGCCCACTCATCAGCAAGTTAGAGCACAGGTCTTAAAATGTACGTTATGTTACTACTTTGTCCATAGAGTTCACTTCTCAAGTCAATGAAACTCTACTTTCAGCTCGGGTGATAACAACTGACGATGTGGTAAAACGAGTCGATCCATCACTGACTCGTGAGGAAATTATCGAGGATTTGAAGCAATGTGCGCGACTTGTTCAGGGTCTGTCTTCGTTTTCCTACCTTTTCAGATTTTTTCAACTTTTTTGAGGCAATTAGTTAAGGTGTATGGGTTCTACAATCTGATTTCCTATTTCACGATCTCACCGCCGTACATTCAACTGTAGCAGGAAAAGTGGGTTTTGTTAGTATTTTGAGCTTCAAGCGTAGTGTTATAGTACCCAAAGGAACGGCGCACCAATGCCACTGACGAGCGCGGAAAATTCGAAAATCGATGTTTCTACAGTCCAGATGGAACAGTACATAAATCTTGAAGTACAACGTGTCAGTTGACCTTCCCAGCAAGTTTATCTATTCCATGATTAGAAGGGTTTGTCCGCTCCAGAGTTCGTGGATTTACATCTGTTTTCTGTTCGCCCTCTTAATTCATGGAAGTC